AAATATTAATAATAATTTAACTTAAAGAGTAATATTCAAGTACATTACGACATTTAGTGTGGGCACAACGTGGTGATAGAAAGTAGATCGCGGTTTGCAGAGCAAGAGAGCAGGCAGTGTGCAGTCCCCGCCACAGGCCCTCTCCGGGGCCAGGACACTGCTCATGGCGACACCGCATGGTGAAGGCCGTGCGGCCGGAGGGTGCCCCAAAATGGTGACGGGCCGTGGTGCGTATTTCATAAGATAAAATATGAGTAACTAAAGCTATCAATGTAAATAAGAAAGGTTCAAAAGTTATAATGTCTGTTCTCACAAGAATAGGATGTATGCTTCGAGAAATTCTAGCTCTTTGCCTCGTGACCCAAAATAATGATTAGAAAGCAACGTCTTTGATGAAATAATTACTCATAGCACCCAATTTAAATTACTGAAAAACAATTACAATCACTAAGGGAATTAAGTTAACGAACTATAAATACGTGTACAAAAACTCATGTTTTTATGTATGTGATGCCAGTATTTTTTAGAAAACATATTAGGATAAAATGACCTACACAAATAACAGTAAATTCCATTGAGGAAACCTAACCAAATTATACAGAATCTACATCTAAAACACTGCAAAGATTTTCTGAGAAGCATAAATACAAGCAAAGAGAAAAAGAAGATATATGTTCCTAATTAAAAGATTCAGTAGAAAATACATTATCTTAAAATTATTTGAGAAATGTATTGAAATTTTTATCAAACTTGAAGTATTCTTTAACCTGACTAATTACTTTGTTTGTCTCCTATTTTAAGCAGTTAAGAATAATGAAGAAAACTTTAAGATAGCACATACAGAGAGGATCTGAATTGTTTACTAAAACATAAAATTGCAATCATAAATAACAATTTTAGGGAAATAAGCAAAATATAGCAAAAATCAGGTTCTTTTTAATAGATAAAATTCTGCACCAATACATATCTATGGAAAATAGAGTCTCTACTTTTAACATCTGATATATAAATTTCCAGTGTTTCCTGTTTATATTCTATTACTTAAAGGAGATTGAAAAGATGAGACCCTCACTAATCGGTATCTTACAAAATTGTTGCTATGTAAATTTTTTTCGATGACCATTGTTTCTAATTGTAAATAATACTGTCTATGGCTTCTCTCTCATAATTTTCTGCACAATTGCATTCTTCCTTATGCATCATGCCCAGAAGTGAAATTGCCGAGTCACGTGTTAACATATGCACATCTGCATGAGTGTAAATGCATCTTGCTACAGAACATCTGCAATGGATTATGATGGCATGCGTGAGAATGTCTTTTTCCAATCTGGCTTCCACACAGTGTTAAATTTTTCAAAGTCTTTTGGTAAATATAATATTCAAACTTATAAAGCGCTGCAGTATGTAATTTAATTTGATTATACCAGTGGAGTTGAACATTCCAGAAGAGTAATAATTCACTTGTATTTATTAATTTGTATATCATCTATTCATAACCTTTGCCCAGTTTTTAATTAGCAGATTCATTCTTTTACTAGTGGATGAGGGCTATTTGTATATCGCGGATATTATTATGTGTAACGTGTCAACAACAATTTAAGAATTTGTTGTTCTTGCATTTTGGTTGGCACTTGAGTTTAAAAACAAAGTAGAAATGCTTTCATTTCTCCTGACTCCACATAGAGACTCTTATCTGATAGAAGGAAATACTCTCTTTGCAAAAATCATAGCAATCTTGGATTTTATGCTTGAGAAATTCCTACATGGAACTTATAGCCATCTAAGATGAATAAGTTTTACCACTTTGACTCTAAATTATTTTTCCCTTATTCTTCAGCAATTTCTGTATATCTGGAATTTCTATCTTGTTGATTACACTTGAATACAGTAAGCAGTACAATAGAAATTCAATTTTCTGAATAGAAAGTTGCCACTGGTTGGCCGATAATGTAATAGATTTCTCATGTTAGACCCTTTTCAAAACCTAAAATCTTGAGTTCAGAGTCCTCGCTTATGTCTTGACAGTAGCTTTCAGGCCCATCAACACCAGGATAAACACATTTCTTCTCTTTCAAGCTACAGAATCATAGTCTCTTTATATTTCTTAACATACTTTTTTCAAAGGAAAGGAACATTGTTTCCAAAAAAAAAAATATCTTTTTCATCTAGTTCTGCTGGGGCAGTAAGAACAAAAAGACTTGCAGTTTTATGGTCTGCCTTAGCTCCCCGAGAACAGGGAAGAAAAATAGAGGAAACTAAAATGGAAATGGACAATATTAAGACATCCTTCTTGGATGAAGCTAAGGGGCTTTTACAGGGCACGCCCTGGTTTATTACCCCATGACTGCGGGGGTGTTAAAGCTGGGCTGGTCGTTCAGGAGGTCTCAGAGTTCCATCTGAGATGTCACTAAGAATAACAACAGCTCAGTCATTGTACTGTGGATCTTTGTTGAGCCAATAACATTTCTCACGACATTTAATTCAATCAGGATAGCAATGAAATGAAATAATTATTTCATAGTATCTACTGTCACGATCCATAGTGAGCGAGATCACCCGTTCATCCCCAAGTGATCAACCAGGCACACGTATAGACGTAAAACTAATCGACAGAAGTTGAATAATGTTGTCATTCATATCTCTGTGCGTGGTAAGGACACTTGTGTAAAGCCTACTCCTTAATACCGTCTAGGTGCCAACACTCTCCTCTAACATCTGTGGTAAATAAGCATTCTCTAGCCTGCTGAACACTAACTTGGCGCACACATCCCAGCAGAAGGACACCAGCCCCGGGGGTACTGAGGCTGCCAGGAGCTTGCCTGCACCCCCAGATGTGTCCCACCTGCATGCAGAGATTTGTCTCTTCTGATGCTTTCAGCGTGTTCTCCTAGCTGACTTTGCGAGGTCAGCAGACAGGCTGTCTGACACAGTGAACACAAAGCGGAATGAGCACCGCATGCCCTAGGTTACACATCAGTTTCAAGACACCGGGAGAAATGAACACCACAGTCAGGTGGTTCTGTCTCATGCACAGTTTTTCCTCACCAAGGGCTTGATGATGTATTTAGCTGGATGTAGCTATAAGAAGGGAGTTGGAGGAGCAATGAGTAGAGACACAAGGCAGAAACCAGGGTCTGCAGCATCTGATTCTTCTTGGTTGAAAAGGCAAGATGGGACCTGGGGGCTTTTAGCTTGGGCTAAACCCGAGCTCACAACCTCACCCCCGTTACACACATCTTCTCTCATCCCCGTACTTCTTCCCACCACCTCAGAGTGATCCCAAGAGAAACACAGACACAAAGAGAAAACCATTTAGAAGACTGCTCTCTGCCGGCTAGGGTTTTAGTGCCGCCTCACTGAGTGGGACGTTCTCTCTGCACGAGCAGCCCACAAGGAGCCTCCTTTATCCAGGAAAAGAGGCTCCACGGGGCTCGCCCCTCTCGGGAATGGCCTCCGCCCTCGGGCTCCCCCGCTGCAGACTGGGGTGCATGTCCCCGTGGACATCCCGTCCAGATGCCGGTCCTCTCCACCAGTGTCATCACACTGTGCTCCCCGCCTTCCTGCAGGCCCCGTGGCAAGCCCAGGGGACGTGTGCCCTGCCGGCCTGCTCACCCCGGGCCCAGTGCCGTGAGTGAGTGAGTGAGGCAAGCCCCTGGCACACTCCAGATGACCGCGGCGCGCTTCTGGTGGAGGAGGGCAGGCGCACGGAGGATGCCTGGCGGGCTGGCGACGTGGCCGCCTGACCGGAGGAAAGCGAGGGGCGAGGAGCTGCGGCACGACCACCGGCCGCTGCATGGTCTCCCCTCGCGGGGGTTCAAGCGTTTAGCGGATGTGGCTGTAGGAAGCCAGGTAGAGAGGAGCGACGAGAGACGAGCAGGCTCAGGGTCTGCCCCAGGGCCTGGGGCCTGCTTGTATCGTTGGCAAACATGGCGACAGGGGCGGAAAAAATAACATATAGAGAGGAAGCAACTTCGGCCCGACCTGAGTTTGAGGCGCCGGCAAGATGCAGTCGCAGCGCGAGTCGGCTGAGGAAGCGCGTGGGGACGGGCCCTGGCCGCCACCTGCCCGGCACACAGCCGCGGCCGAGCGAGCCTGCTCTGTGCAAGAGAGAACATCTCCGAGAAGACCCTCCCGCAACTCTGTCCGGGGCAACCGAGGTCACCACGGTGCATCTACCACGGTGCATCTCGTTCTGCTTACACGTTGGGGCTCCCGTCACCTTCGAAAGTAAACGAGCTCTGACAACTGAGCAGCCTAGGATCAAGGGGGGGGTAGGCGGGGGCCGGCCGAACCTGCTGTGGTGGCCTGCTCCCTGGACCCCTGCGCCCACAGGGGACCACACTGCACCCCCAGACCCCACCTGGGAACACCCGGTTGGCCAGTGTCTCCTGTGCTGTCTGCAGACAGCCTGTTGCTGTGCTTCAGAATTGGTCTTTCGTTCTCTGTTCCTTTGCTCTGTTAGTTACTTACTGTGGATTCTAAACTTCTGAACATGCAGAAACATTGCCCGCCCCTGCTTTGCCGGAGTCTACATAGTGTCTCCCACCACGCACACTGGTGTTGATCATCAGCCTGTGGTTGCTACTCAAACACACTGGCCCAACTCACTTCCTGAGCTGATGTTTGCGGCGTGGTGATGACTCCAGGCTGCTGTGGATTATTAACTGAGAGGAACTGTTACGGGCAGGCGCGCTTGGCGTCCACCTTCGTGCACCTTTAACTCCAGTGATCACTGACCTTTGTCCACCCCCTGCCCATCGGGGTCCTCGTCTGCAACGCGGATGAGTTACTTTGTGCAGGCTGGGGTGGGGTCGGCACTCATCCGGGGAGCGTCTGGCGCGCAGGAAGGAGCTGGCGCAGTGTTCAGGGTGGCAGTGCCCAGGCAGAGCCTGGGCGACAGCTCACACCCTCGCGTGCCCCCGCCCAGTGAGGAACCCACCTTCGCGTCGTCGGGAGGAACCCACCCTCATTTTCCGCTTGTTCCTTCTCCGGCCCTATAGATGCTCTGAACCTCCGGAATCGACAGGTCATCTGTGTCACGCTCAAAGTCCTCCAGCATCTGGTGGTGTCAGCCGAGATGGTGGGTGAAGCTCTGGTGCCCTACTACCGTCAAATCCTCCCCATCCTGAACATCTTTAAGAACATGAACGGTGAGTCGTCCCAGGAGTCAAAATGGCTTTCAAGCCCTGAAAAAAGGGAGTGGTTTGGAGTAGAGTTAATTAGCAACACATTGAGGATTTATTATTGCGTATAAACCGAGATCCATTTGGAAATCTAAATAGCATAACTCCCACCCCTTCTCTTGCTACTCCCGAGGGCAACAGTAAAATTAACAATTTCATTTATTACTCCTCACACGTACCGCTTACTCACTCAGTACAGAAGCACTGAAGCAGTTCTAGAATCTTCCAATAATTAAATTGTAAAGTTTTTTAATAGTCTTTTGAATACATTAGTGCGTTTTGAGTTTGTCCTTTCTCTTCATAGTTTTTTCTGCCTTTTAGATACTTTCTGTTAAAACTGCTCTTGACTATTATTATTTGGTTTAAGGTGATTTTGTTTTAATCCATGGTATTGCGATTTGGTACAGGTGGTTTGGAAAGTTTTAATACAGGTTCTCTGATTTAAAAAAAAAGATCAAAATTTGTAGTTACTCAGCTAACGGTAAGTACTGGTTAGAAACATTTACATGGCAGCCACTTGTGTAAAGCAGTGTCGTGTGTAAGCTCCGCGAAGCGCCACTGGGCCCACGTGATGTTCTTGGCCCTCGATGAGGCCCGGCGGGTCCCCACACTCTCGGTTGTCTGTGAGTGCTCATGGCTCATCAAGACTGATTTTCTTGCCGTGCTTCCGGAAATGATGTAAAGCTAATTTTCTTTTATGTCGCCAACTTTGAAGTTCCATATTTCTCATATGCACAATGAAGTCAACATTTGGAGTCCATTCCTGACCATAATTAATCAGTAATTTACTGGACTCTGCAGGAAAACGTTGCCGCGTGGCCCTCCCAGTGTACCTGTGAGAAATAGCCAACAGGCGTCTGAGTAATGGCAGTGCCCCGTGCATAGTCTTCTCTTTGGAAGGGCTATTTTTTACATTATCCCTAAGTTGCTATTAAAACCTGCTTAACCAGGCAGATAGTATTAAGGAAACCATGGGATCCTCAGAAAGTCTTTAGCTGAATGTCAATGGTAGGGCCTACCTATATGTTTAATATTAAATCTATTTAGTACAGTCAACTTCAGCTGGGGTTATGGGAGCTTAAGAACCTTCATCATAGAGTGTGTTTCTGTTCATTCCAACAAAGCTAAAGGCTATTTGAATACCTGAAAGCTACAATGTTAATGTGGGCATTAAAACCAGGTGATTATACTTTCAGAAATTAAAACTTGTTTGTTAGAAAATGAGTCTCTTATGGTATAAACTGCACATTTTAGTAACAACATTTCGACTTTATGGAAAGTCCTTATTTCAATATTTTGAGTCATGATTTATAACTTGACAATATAGCAACATCAGCTCTCTGCACAGCCGCAGTGACTCCACAAACAGCATCTCAATTATGGTTCAGACAAGGAACGCTTTGCACATCCATTGTGTTTAGATTCCAGAGACTGTAGCGGTCACGATGAAGATACATGGGGAGATGGAGATGGTAATGGACATGGACGTGTGATAGTGATAGACACAGAGATGGTGATTGAGGAGATAGAGAATGTGACGGTAAAGGAGGAGAGAGTGACCAAGATGGAGAAGGAGAAGGAGATGGAGATGGACATTGTGATAGAGAAGGAGGTGGAGATGGAGGAGATGGTGATAGAGATGGTGATGGTGACGGAGATGGAGGTGGAGATGTGATGGAGGTGAAGGTTGATACAGAGATAGAGAAAGCTAGAATGACTGAAGAAATGTAAGAATCAGACCCCTGACGCCTCAGGGAGCATTGTTCTAAGTGGTTTGCAAGTGCTTCCTCTCTGCTCCTCCAGAAACCCATGTGGGCATGTACTACCATTTATGTGTGCTATAAATAGTTCCATTTTTCCCTCCAAAAGTTGCCCTCTGCCACCTTTCGCCTACACCAGCTTGGGCCTACACCCTGCCCTCCCGGGGGACGAGCACTAACACCCCCTGCTGGGGGCGAAGGCTGTCCCTACGCTTGGTGAATGATCTTCTTGTCCCGAGTGGAATGTGTAGCTTGAATCTATCATTTTGTGTCTCTGTATAAACAAAACACACTGATATTCGAAAGACAGTTACAAGCGCCCTCACCCTCAAGGAAACCTAGACAAGCGAGGAAGTGCTGCTGTCAGCGAGGCAGCTGACTCTGGTGGGGTGGCCAGGTGACTACACAGGCGACTGTCTCTGCGTCCCCCCACCCAACTCGCCACTCGTGTGCGTTCCTGGGCTGGACCAAAGGGTGGTTGGCTTTCAGAATTGTCCCTCTTAGGTCTCATCCGTGCGGGGGCTTTCTACTTCATGACAAACCCATGGGCCCCAAACCTAACTTATTATTGTTGGAGCATTTTGGGCTGCAGGTACCAAGAATTCTGCGTTCAACTGTGTCGCAGTGTTGTAGCTTTCTGACATGTGAGGGGAAAATACTGGCTTCAGTTTCAGTTTCTGTATATCTGAAAACCGTGTCAGTACAGTGCCACAGTGCCATTGACTGCACTTCCGCAGGGTCGTGTTATAAAATTGGAGCAGGTGGCCTCGCGGCCTCAAGGCGCTCTTCCAAGTGGCCGTGCCACACCCGCCCAGTCCCACCAGGAGCTCCTCACCGGAGTCGCCATCACAACAGCATTTTCAGAAGGAAGTTTGCGTTTGTCTCGTTTTTAGTAAATCCTGCTTTCTGTACCAACATTCACAGAGCCATCTTTACTCCTTTTACTTAATCAGGTGTCCGTAGTAGTAGATATATCTATTCTAAGTGAAAATCACATGAGAAACGTATAGCAGGAAGCACTAGACAAAAGTCTTCCTCACTTGCAAGGTGTTTGAAAGTGATTTCCCACATTCCCATGTCTCTGCTCTTCCCTAATTAATTTTCATGTACATCAATGTCTAGTTAAAATCAGGCTCCAACCTCTTCCTCCAAGCCCCACTATTGAGTATATGCTAGTATGTGACCAGGTAACATGATAGGGAGAGTGAAAGACCAGTGCCCTGGACGCAATGACCTGTCCCCTGTACACTTCCATGGAGACAAAAAGTTATCACCAGCCCCACAGAATAGTCCTACCCTATGGGAAAGAAGAGCTTCACATTCCTATTTATGAACACATTCCTAATTTCCCACAAGGTAGAATGAAACTATAGCTAAACACGCACACACACACACGCACACACACAGGTAAGCGTAAGGCTTGCACAGTGACATGTAGCATCTGGAGCCAGAAGACTTGGGACCTGGGCAGCCCAGGTGTCTTCTTGGAGCCTAAACTGCGTCATCTGTGCGGGATCCTGATGATGGTGACTTTGGCACAGTTGATGTGACAATGTCACGTCACCATGATGTGACAGGCTCACATCTCCATTGCCCGTTCATGGCCAGCCTGGCCTCAAGCGGGCATTAAGAAGACAGCCAGTCTGGCCACAGATGACTCATACCGTTAGATACAAATAGAGGCCATGAGCACTGTCAGATGGGATTGCGGGAAGGCCCCGCTGTGTGACCCATCCCTTGGCCCTTCTGTGATGTGTGAGCAAGACAGCAGTACTTGTGGATTTTTCCAACTGCAAATATCCCACTGCTTCCAGGAATTCCTCTGGCCTCTCATCGCCAGATGCAGGGGAAGGGTGATGGGAGGAGCCGGCAGAAAAGTTAAGGAGCCGGGACTCATTCGGGGTAGCTGGTCTTGCCAGCCACCCTCCCCGGCATAACCTTTAAACTTTTAATATGTGCCTGACGTTTTGGGAAATGCCATATTCAAAAAGAGAAGCTGGAATGTGACGAAGGACGGTGACTTCTGCCTGGGAAGAACCAAGCTAGCCGCGAAGCCTTTGAGCCATTTTCGTTCATTGCAAACAGCAAATTCAGGGGAGGCCTAGAACACGGTCTTCGTGGTGTCTGCTTCGGGGTGAGAGCAAAGGAAGTTTCTGCAGTGTAATTCTTCTTTCCTGTGTTCTTCCACAAATGTTATTAAAGGTTACAGAAAATTAAGACAATGGGAGGGTGCGATTAATAGCTTTCAGAGGGAGCTACAAAATTAATGGAGCGGTGTGTGGCCTTTGAGAAGCACGAGGCAATAAACGGCTGGAACATTCCTGGCTGGGACTCGGGGGTCTGCCCACCCGGCAGCCTGCTCTGACGGCAACCCTTGCTTGCTTGGGCCCCTTTCTTCCGGTTGTTGCAGCCTCACTCTCCAGCTCCCCGTGACCCCAGTCGTGTTCTAACTCTGCCACAGAACACGCACAAGTAAACGTAACAACGACACAGCATGTCCCTGTGCGTGGAGGGCCAGCGTGTCTCAGGCGGAGTGGACCCCACTTAGACTAATGATGCCCATAAGGAGAGACACAACGTTCAAAAGGGAATTTCGCAGGTTAGAATGCTTGCAGCAGGTGTTTGACCCTGAAATGTAAGTCGTTTCCAAATGAAAGGAGCAAAGGTCTTGTGCTTCTCATCTTGGAAACAATCACTAAGGAGCAGTCAAACACCGGGGCTCAGCCGGGTCCCCAGGCTCGTGGCTCTCGGGCTCGGGCGCCCACCGTCCTGGGCCTCTGGGTGTGGTGGGCTTTTGGGAGCTGATTGTTCACACACACACACACACACAAACTTTGCTTTTTATCTGTTTTACAGTTGACTTTGTAAAGGTCATTTCCTAGAGCTTAAAATTTCATTTTGGAATGGAGGTTTCTTGCCCCCCACGGAATTCTAAGCACTTTTGAGCCTATGGTGGATAGTTTAGAAACTTCAACGTTCGCTTGAGTCATCAGGTTTATTAGCTTGAAGGCAGCTGGACACCCCGGGAGTGTAAGGGACGTGCTGCCCGCCCGCCGCGGGCTGACCCCAGCTCCGCCTCCACGCGGCTCTCTAGTTGCCGCAGGGGCCCGGGGAGCGTGACAGAGATGTCGCCGGCTGACTCGGCGGCCGCGACACTGGGCCCCAGGGACCAAGCGTGGCCTCGGGGCTCCGCCCGCCTGGGGCAGGACACCCGGAAGGCCAACGCCCCGGCGTCCGTGTGGTGACCACGGGCGTGCGCACAGCCCACACCTGCCCCTCCCGTCTCGTGCGTCGCCGTGGCAAAGGCTGCC